AATGTGCTATTTTAAAATAATCTGTTAAATACACACTAATTATCAGTTGCCAAAAAGTATTTCCTATAAAGAAAAGTTAAGCCATCTGAAAGGATTAATGGAATATGAAGAGAAAAAAATGATGATGTGTAGTCATATAAATCAGGCATTCAAAATAATCAAGTATCTTGTGACACATAAATAATTCTGATTTATAATTTTATTAATGTCTGGACATAGACATACATAAATAACTCTGATTACATGACACAATTATAAATGCAGATTTTGGAAGACTGAAATTGATCAACATTATCTGGATTGACAATAAGCCCATAATGCAGCATAATGGATTTTTAAAATGCAGCATAAATCTGCTTAAAAAATATATCTAGGCAGCCCAACATCAAGACACATTAAAAACTGCCACCAGTTTCTGGACTGTGACTTCCATGCCAGCACCTTGCAGACATAGCAAATGCAGGAGATTACACAGTGCATGCCTTGCTATGGTGCATAAGATAGGTTCGGAGGATCTTGCTAAAGTACACTTATATCCAAGCTGAGTTATTGGGATGATTTTCTCTTTTTAAAGCAAGAAGGAAGATGGAAATGTTCAGCCAGATGCTTTCTCCCCAAATGTAGAACTTTTTCTTGGAAAAGCTACAAAAAGCATGAGTTTTTCTTGGAAAAGGTACAAAAGGCATGACTTTTTAAGCAAAGGCAGACAGAGCTTTTGATGGACAGACAGATGTTGGATACATCAATTAGGCAGAGCTATTCATTCTAGCAAATCTAAGGCTTTGTCCCTCTAGAAAGTGGGGCTGAATTTTGAGACTAAAGCTAATTAATTGGATGGATTAATCCCTGAACTGAAGACTTAAGAAATAATGAAGTCAAAGAAGGAGGGCTTGGGGTGCATTGTTATGTAGCTCCCCAACCCTGCTACTCTTTTAAAAAGCCAACTTGGAGTTTTATGGCGTTATTCACATGACTGCTGTCCTGCTCCCAGCATTTGAAAATTGATAAAGAACAAAAATAGATATAGAAACCATAAGGTAATTTCAGATCCTCCATTCGTGCCTACACTGAATGTATGTGCCACACAATTTTTTTAAAGATTTTATTTATTTATTTGACAGAGAGAGAGACAACAAGAGAGGGAACACAAGCAGGGGGAGGGCGAGAGGGAGAAGCAGGCTTCCTGCAGAGCAAGGAGCCTGATGCGGGGCTCGATCCCAGGACTCTGGGACCATGACCTGAGCTGAAGGCAGATGCTTAACGACTGAGGCACCCAGGTGCCCCTGTGCCACACAATTATTGTGCCTGAGGCCCAGATGGAGAAAACTCAAATCATGCTTAATATGCCATTTAGTTTTAAAATTCTCAAGATCTCACTAGAAGTGGGACCCATAAGAATAATTCAAGAATAAATAAAACGAAAACAGATAAAAAAGTGTCAGCAGAACTAAAGGCAGCCAAAAGATTCTGTACTAATGTCTTTAGCACATTCAATTCAATTTATGGCAGTGAATTTGGAAGAATCCCTAAAGTTAACCAAGTCCAGGATTTAATCTAGGGAGTATTTGTCAAGGAGTACTACCATACAAATGTTTGACTCTGTAGTTGTTGTTTGGATGAGTTAGGAACAGGAGTGGGTCTTTGGTAAAGATTTTCTGACTTGAGTGAATGAAAGAAAGACTAACTGAAGGAATAAACACTGTTGATAAATCTAGATCTCCTTAGTGAAGAATCCAGATACATGATAACCAAGGATGGAAAAATGATCTAATAATAGCAAATGCAATACACACTTAATGGGGGCTTAGAATGTGCAAAGTTTGTTTTAAGAACTTCACATGAGCTAACATTCTTCATACTCATCTAATTAATCTATGAAATACATACTATTACGATCATATGCCCATTTGTTGTTGAAGCAAGCGACACACAGAAGGAGGAGGTAAATTTCTTAAAGTCACAAAGTTAAAAGCGGCAATTAGAATTCAAAAACCATGTAGACAGTTGTCAGAGTCCCCAGTTTTATCCACTCTTCTCTGCTTCCTCTCACTATTTCAGTTAATTCTTACAATAACCATATGAAGTAGGATTTGATAGAATAGAAAGCTAAGGCACAGAGAAGTGATAAAGGTAGGATTTGGATCTAGAATGAAATCAAATCTTGTATCTCTCTTCATACCAAAAGGCATCATCCTTTATGGAACTTTTGGGAGCCAATCTAAAATTGTCCTTCTAGGAGAATTTTGTGCAAAAGATCACTGTCATCCTTAATGCCCTTTGCATTCCTCACACTAGAAAGCCACAGCACACCTGAATTCATCTAGAACCATGGACAGCACCCAGGTTTTAGGAATGTCTTCTCAGGCTTCGGGAGTAAGGTGGTGGAGATTCTTTCCATCATGAATCAAACCAGCAATCATCTGTCAATCAGGCTTTATTGGTGAGAAAACCAGTTGGTTCATCTGGAGGTTTATTTGGAAGTAACTGCTTTACATTACTAGCCATGGAGTCTTTGACATTGACTTGGTTTGTCAATGTCATCGCCAGACATCATTTAGCAAATAATCAAACTGATTCTAGATAACTGGGTATTTTTAGTTTGCTGGAATCACATGCAAGCCTAAACAAAGTATATAATATTCTCATTGATGCCCTTAGTCCTCTACCAGGAGGAATCTTGGGTCTAGGAAACCCGTTTCAAGTTACACAAATGCCTGGGAGAAGTAATACATTTAACCAGTCCCTTATAGATTCATATTTATTCATGAAAGGAGAGATAGGTCAAAATGAACCCATATTTTTCACATGGATAAGGGGGAAACAGAGGGCACTCAGATGAAACCTGCATATTCTACTTTATAATTTCACCCAGGAACAGTCCCAAGTAGGCTCTTTGGGCTTCTACTCCTGGAAAACACTTTGACATTTATTAATTTAATTGATTACTTACTGAGCTTCAGTGAGATGTCTCTGAAAGTGCCCCCTCCAACTTCTTTATACTTACTATATTATAAATGTTCTTATTATAATCTATCTTGTGACTTATTGTTATATGCTCTTCTTCCTTTTTTTGAGTGTGAGATCTTTGGTGATGGGGACTATGTATGATTTCTCATCCTTCATGTTTGTTTCAGTTTCTAGCATAAGCAAGACAATACATAAACATTTCAAGTTCTACTGGATGAATCAAATTTTTAGTGATTTGCCCGGCCTTCTTTTATTTGCTGATGCATTCATCTGTGTGCTTTTCTGTCTGCCTGCCCACCAATTAATCAAAGTATGCATTCAGCCATCCATCTGTTTGGCCATTTATCCATCTATTCATCTATTCATCCGTCTGTCCAGGCACCCATCCATCCATCCACCCGTCCATCCATCTATACACCCACACTTCCCCTGATCTCAGCCCACTAGCAATTCAGACAAAGCAATCAGATGAATTCACCAGAAGAGCTGACAATTGATGAGGATTTCCCATCCATACTTCTTGCTTTTATCCTGTACTAATTTTCCTTCATTGAACATCTTTCTCCTGTGCTATCCCCCTTCTCTTTCTCTTGCCTCAGGAGAGTTACAGGAATGAAAATGAGATGGCTCCTGGGGGCTGGAGAGGGGAGTAAATTGCTTGGTGACAGCTTGGGTCCAGGGACAGATGAAAACCTTAGCCTTAAGCAAAGTTCAGGGAAGCCCAAGGAGCGAGCTGATGGACAGTCTGACTTGTCGAGGGTGAAATCAATTAAAGTACATCAAATCCAGAATTCATGCTTTCTCAGAGTGACAAATCTATGCTGGAAACTGAGAAAGATGAAGGGAGAAAAATGTCTTTGACCTCTCAGAGACCGGCTGTTCCTTCTGTCAGGGGAGCCAGGCTTGGAGTAAGATGCATTCATGATGAATTATAACAGCCAGCCAGCCACCTTAAAAAAGAACGGGGTGAAAAGGTTACCAAAGAGATCCAAAATGTGAGGAATTCAACCAAACATCAAGATAAATCAACTTGGGACCAGGAGTATTTGTGCCATGCCTGTTCATAAGTGCCATGGAGAAGCTCAGTTAGCCCAGCGCTTTTAGGCTTAGTATGTGCCAACATTTACAACCACACACACGTTGTTGACCAAAGCACAGGAGGGTAATCAGAAGAGAAGAGCCACGAGGTTGTCAGTTGGCATCAGAAGTCTGGAGGCATACCATTTCTGGGCAATGCTGTCCAACAGAACTTTCTGCAATGATGGAGATGTTCTATAGTAATATCCAGTACGGTAGACATTAGTCACATGTGACTCCTGGGCACTTGAAATGTGAAAAGTGAAACCGAGGAACTGAATTTTTATTTTTTAGGTTATTTTAGATTTTTAAATTTAAATATTTTGAGTGTAAATAGCCAGATATGCTAGGAGCTGTCATAGGAGACAGTGAAACTCCAGGGCAAACAATGGTTTTGTCTACAAGGATACCATCACAGAAGCAGACTGCAGTGCCTACTGGTCAAGGTGTTTTGAAAACTTAAAGCATACCAAGGTTTGTGTGCTCCATCGAATGAGAGCAATATCATATTTATCTCTGTATACTATGCATCTACAACAGTACCTGGCACATAATAGGTGTCTATACATGTTGAATAACCGATTAAACAAATAATAACAGTTAACTTATTGAACACTTATTACATGTCAGATATTGTACTAAAGCTTTGTATGCATTCTCTCCTTGAATCTGCCTAGTAAGACCATCGGGTAGGCAGTAGTGGAAGTAATTATAGTAAACATTGCTCACTGCATGGCCAGCTCTCCCCAGAAAGGTTTGCCTATGATAACACATTTATTACTCACAGCAATTCCATGAAGTAGATACTATTATTATCCAGTCTCCTGGATGAAGAACCTGAGGCACAAGAAAGTCTGAGCAATGCATAAATGACACAAGTAATGAGTTGCCTAGCCAAGACTGAAACCCTACAGAGCCAATCCCTGACTCATGTGGGGTTCCCTTGCTTTTCCCAGATTACAGAAGAATGAACTGAAGCAGAGAAAGATTAGATCAACTTTTTGGTTCGGAAGTGGCAAAACCGGGACCCAAACTCAGATCTACCTGATTGGAGAAGCCCAGCGAGTAAGTGAGTTGCTTTATAACTTCTTGGGTTTCTGCGTTGTGGGGAGAAAAGGCATCGTACTCACTTGCAATATGGGATGGTATATTTTGTTTTCTCCTACAATGTGGAGGTTGAATCTTGATTTGAAATTGCCTCTCTGTGAACATTTCCTCATCAGTCAAATGAGCTGACTTTCAGCTTTTTGAGAGGGCTCAGGGCTGCCATGTATGCATGTGTCTGGTACGTGATAAGCACTTAATAAAAGGATGTTATGGGTGATATTATTATTATTGTGATTAAAAAACAAGTAGGTACTGGAAAACACCCTGTGTGATGAGTGATGTGTGTGTGTTTCTGTCTGTCTGTTGGGCACCCCAGATACACCCTCAAGCCCTCCTGGCTGAGGCCTTGCTGACTTCGTGACCCTGGGACATGGGAGGCTAGGTGAGCCTGATCCAAATGTGCCCCTGGGTCCTAGAGCCTATCATAAAGACCCCCAAAGAGGAAGAGGTCAGGAGTCAGGTGGACATGGCTCACAGTTGGGCTGCAGAGCAAGATTTCATGTCAGCACAGCCTGGCCCATCAGTCCTGCTCCCTGGCCTTTGTTGACCAGTTGTCCCAGTTTCTTGCTGGTTCCTTCCTGAGATGAATTTCCCAAGTAACTATGATTTACATTCTTTAGCATCCAAATTCATATTATTATTTCCAAATTTGAGCCATTCTGCCTGGAAAACCTTCTTATAAGCTTTAATGCTTATGTCTGTAAAAACAGATGTTGAACAAGACTTAATCTTTGCTCTTTTTCCCTCCAAAATATATATTTATACATAAAAATATATATGTATTTATAAAATAAGCAGCAAATAAATGTATATTTATATATACATGTGAAATTCACATAGCATAAAATTAGTCATTTTAAAGTGAAAATTCGGTGGCATTTAGTGCATTTGCATGTTCAGTGTTGTGCAACCATGATCTCTATCTAGCTCCAAAACATTTCCATCATCCCTAAAGAACATCCTCTACTCAACAAGCAGTCACCTCCTATTCTCCCTCCCCTGAGCCCCTGGCAAACAGTAATCTGCTTCTTGTCTCTATGGATTTACCTGGTCTGGATATTTCATATAAATGGAATCATACAATTTGTGACAATATATGTCTGGTTTCTTTTACTTAGTATAATATTTTTGAGGTTCTTCCACATTGTAGCATGTATCTGTATGTCATTCCCTTTTATAGCTGAGTAATAGTCCATTACACAAATAGATCACATGTTGCTTATCCATTCATTAGTTGATGAAAATTTGGCTTGTTTCTGCATTTTGGTTAATATAAATAGTACTGCTATGAATATTTGTGTTCAAGCAGTTTTTGATTGGCGAGGATGTGGAGAAAAAGGAAACTTTATGCACTGTTGGTGGGAATGTAAACTGGTGAAGTCACTACAAAAAACAGTGTGGAGATTCCTCAAAATTAAAAATAAATCTATCATATGATCCAGCAATTCCACCTCTGGGTATTTATCCAAAAAAACCCAAAAACACTAACTGGAAAAGATATCTGCACTCCCATGTTCATTGCAGCATTATTTACAATAGCCAAGATTCAAAAAGAACCTAAATGTCCATTGACAGATCAATGGATATGTGATACACACACGCGCGCACACACACACACACACATATCATATATATATATATATGTGATTATATATATATAATTCAGCCATAAAAAGAATGAACTGTTTCCATTTGCAACAAAATGGAGGGATCTTGAGGGCATTATGCTAAGTGAAATCAGTAAGACAGATACTTTATGATCTCACTTATATGTGGAATCTTAAAAAACAAAACAAACTCATAGATATAGAGGACAGATTGGTGGTTGCCAGATGTGAGTGCTAGGGGGGTGGGCAAAATGGATGAAGGAGTTCAAAAGGTATAAAGTTCCAGCTACAAAATAAGTAAGTCATGGGATGTAATGGGCAGCATGGCAAATATAGTTAGTAATACTATACCGTGTATTTAAAAGTTGCTAGAAAACGATTTGAGTACCTGATTTCAATTGTTTTACTATATACTTAAAAGTGGAATGGAATTGCTGTCATATCTAAGAATCCATTGTCAAATCCAATGTCCTGAAGATTTATCACTATGTTTTATTCCAAGAGTTTTATAGCTTTAGCTCCCATATTTGGATTATCTATTCATTTTGAGTTAATTTTTACATATGGTGTGAGGTAGGGATCTTTCTTCATTCTTTTCCATGTGAATATCCAGTTGTCCCAGCCTCATTTATTGAAAACATACTTCTTTTCCCACTTGATGTTCATGACGCTCTTGCTGAAAATTAATTGGCCATAGATGTATGGTTTATATCTTTTTTATTCCTAAGTTCCTCCTTTACTGCTTTTTTGTGTGTTTAGTTGATGTTTTATAATTAACCAGTTTTTTATTTCCCTCTCATTTATTTTTCTGTATTTTAAAAAATATTTTTGTATGGTTACCATGGGGATTACAATTAATATCCTAAATTTATAACAATCTAGTTTGAGTATATCAACTTTGCTTCAATAGCATGCAATAACTGTAGTCCTATACAATTCTACCCTCTCTGTGTTATTGTTGTCACAATATATTGTCTTTATACATTGTGAGCCATTAATGTTGACTTATAATTATTGTTTTATGTTTATTATTTTATGTTTTTGTCTTTTAAATAGTCTAGTAAATAGAAATAGAAGTTACAAACCAAAAATGCAATAATACTGGCTTTTATATTTACTTATGTAGCTACCTTTACTGGAATTATTTATTTTTTTGTATGGCATTGAGTTACTATTTAGTGTTTTTTCATGTCAGCCTGAAGGACTCCCTTAAGCACTTTTGTTTGATAGGTTTACTAGTGATCAACTCCCTCAGCTTTTATCTTGAAATGTCTTAATTTCTCCCTCAGTTTTGAAGCATAGTTTTGCTGGATATAGAATTCCTGTCATCCCATTACCTTCTGGCTTCCTTAGTTTTTGATAAGAAATTGAGAAATCTTATGGAGGTTCTCATAGTCATTGTCCTGGTGCTTTCAAGATTCTCTTTGCTTTTGACTTTTGGTAGTTTACTTTAATGCATCTAGGTGTGGATCTCTTTGCTTTTATTCTTCTTGTTATTCATTAAGTTTCTTGGATGGGTAATTTCTTTGATCAAACTTTGGAAGATTTTGACTATATATATTTTTTTTCCCCAAATATTCGTTTTACTCTTTTCTTTCTTTCCTCCTCCTTTTGGAATTCCTATGATGCATTTGTTGGTACACTTGATGGTATTCCACAGGTCTCTTACACTCTGTTCATTTTTCTTTATTCTTTTTTTCTCCTGTACCCCAGAGTAAATCATTTCAATTGACTCATTTTCAAATTCACTGATTTTTCTTCTGGCTGCTCAGATCTCCCATTGAAATCCTATAGTAAGTTTTTCATTTCATTATTTTACTTTGAAACTCTAGAATTTCTTTTTGGTTCCTCTTCATAATTTTTATCTCCTTATCGATATTCTCTATTTGTTGAGACATCCTTCTCTTGGTTTCCTTTACCTCTCTGTCCACGATTTCCTGTAGCTGTTTAGCTGTATCTAAGACAGTTGATTTAAAATCTTTTGTCTAGTTTGATGTAGACTTGTGTCTGATGTCTGTGCCTCCTCAGGAACCTTTTCTGTTACTTTCCTTTGTGCATAGTTAATATGCTATTTCCTGCACAATTAGAGCTTTTTGTTGAAAATAGTACATTGTGGTAACTCTGGAAGTCAGATTCTTCTACCTCCTCTACATTTATTTGTGTTGCTGGCTTTGGACTGTAGCAGTTTATTTACTTAGTGACTTTTCTTAACTATTTTTGTAAATTCCATATTCTTTGTCATGTATGGTCTCGGAAGCCTGTTCTTTTAACTTGTGTTCAGGTAATGCTTTGACAGGAACTTCTTTATATACTCTCCCCCAGCAAAAAAAAAAAAAAAAAAGAGAGAGAGAGAAAAGGAAGAAGGAAGGGAGGGAGGGAGGGAGGGAAGAGAGGAGGGAGTGAGGGAAGAGAAATAGAAAGCAAGGCAAAAAAGAAAATGCTCAGCATTTGCTGATTTGCTCTATGTTGGGATATACTTTCAATGTGTAGCCACACTATTTACAACTTTGCCTTAGCCTTCGCTCCTGTTTGTACCAAGCCTAGATTCTGCTAGAGGCAAAAGTTTGTAATCTTCTCAGGTCTTTTCTGAGAATACATTCTGCCATGTGTCATGCCATGGGCACATGTATGACTTTCTAAAGTCCCCAGTGTATGTGGTGGCTTTTGAATGCCCCAATCTCCCAAAGAAAGTCTCTTTCTCATTGGTTTCCCCAGGCTTTCAGAACATTTAGTGTTTGTCTCAGTTGTAATCTTTTGTTCCACATAGCAATGAGTTATCCATTTGCCCGATGGTTTGAAGGAAAGCCCTCTGTGTAGTCAATTTTTTTGCCTTGAGTGAGTTCCGAGTTAGGCAAAACAAAGGCTAGAGCATCTTGTGTCATTCCTTCAGGGAACCTCCAGACAGATTAGAATATACAAATACAATTCTTTGAGAATAAGGTCTATTCTTACTGTGGACTTAATTATGACCACCTGCCTCCAAAATCACATGTTGAAACCCTGACCCCCCAACGTGATGATATTTGGAGGTGTGGTCTTTGAGAAGTAATTTGGCTTACATGTGGTCATGGGGATGGAGCCCTCATGCTGGGATTAGTGTCCCCATAAAAAGAGGACGAGACCTAAGCCCCCTCTCTCTCCACCATGTGAGGACACAGCAAGAAGATGCCATCAGCAAGCCAGGAAGAGGGCTCTCACAATGAAAGCCTGATATTGCCCTCTCAGCCCCAAGAACTATGAGAAAGAAATTTCTGTTGTTTGAGCCACCCTGTCTATAGTGTTTTGTGATGGGTGCCCAAGCAGATTACATACAGCTCTGCATTCTCCAGAACCAGGGACCAGGGCCCCACA